ATCCCAGAGACACCACAACCAGGGTGGCCATTGTGCTACAGAACGAAAAACAAGGGCTCCGCTTACGTCGATGTTCAGCGTGTGGGGAATGCGCAATGTGAATTCGATAATGCGGATTCGAAAGGGATCTCCCACTTCTACATTGGAGGGGATGGAGGCAGCGCAGACGACACAAGAAGCCAAGAAGAATTGTCCGTGACGGTGACGAATGTCCTGCTGTACAACCGCCCGTTGACTTCCGAAGAGATTGCAGGGCTTGCCAAAAATACAATTACTATTCCGAAGCCGGAGGGTCCGAAGAGATCGGTGGTGGATACTCAATCACCAGCGACAAGTGGACCAGATTTGGAGGGAACCGTGTCCTTGTCCAATTCTGCCGGGCAACGGCCGTTGGAAGAGGAACCGTTGAAGGCGAATTTTCGTGGTGACGGTGTATCCAGTGCAGCTTTCGTTGCCACGACTCCCTCGTCTGATGCTGCTCAAGCGGTGGCGACAGGGAGTGGAGATACGATGCAGGGAAATGGATCACCCCAAACTCCTGAGGTGAGCGTGAGCTCTGGCGGGCATGGGGAGACGGCGGGAGGAACGGATGCGCAGGGAGAGGAGGAGGTTATTACACAGGTCGGGGACGTAAATGCTACGGCACTCAGCAGCAGCCTCGGAAATGTGTCGCAGGGGAATAACAGTGATGATGGCACTGTGTGTGGGAGCGGACTGCTGCCATCGCTGCTGCTTCTGTTGGGACTGTGGGGGTTTGCGGCTCTGTGAGGAGTCACTGGCTGCCGCGTGGGACAGTTGCGGCATCCCCAGCACAGAATTACCCCATGGGAACCAATTTCTCTCATAAAACCTTTAATTTATTTTTCCGTATTTTAAATTAATTTTTTTGTTTGCTACTTTTTTTCAAAATTCTTTTCTTTCTTTAAAATTTGTTTTTATTTCCCATTCCCCACCCCTCTTTTTTGCTTTTCGGGGCAATCACTATGGACGTTTTTTCTACTCTTCCCTCTTTAATTGTTTCTTGCTGCACTCTTCCTGTGAGGGGTGCCGTGTGTTTCCCGCCCAACTGCTCCACTCGCACACCCACCGACACGCTCATGACGACGGCCCTGTGCGCCTCGCCTGCTGCACGCATGAGGAGGGGCCGCGACGAACGGCGCGCTGAGGGAGCCGTGACGTGTGGGCGTGCGACGAGGGCTTGTGGGGCGGAGCACACATTTCTTTCCCTCTTGTTTTGTTTTTTTGCGGCCAGGGCGGGCAGACACCCGCAGCGCCACACACACACAGTCACACCCTGCCGCCGTGTTTTTTTTTCCTTTTTGTTTTTCGTGTTCATTTCACGCGCTGGCAGTCCCGTCAGCATTTCTCTCCCTCCTGATGATTTTTTTTCTTTTGCTGCGCTCACTCCCCCGATGGAGAGACGCGACTCCCGTCATGTCTGCGTGCTTCTCTCAGTCCCCACACACACGAGTGACTGTGCTCTGCGGGCCGCACTCGCACGCCGATGAGAGGGCTGAGGGGAGCAGCAACACGCAGATGGCCCCATGAAATATAAACGATGTGCGGACACATGGAGGGTCAGACGGTTGAAGCACACGCAAACATCTTTTCAATTTTCTTTTCCGGGCAAAATATATACAGACAGTTTGGTGTGGCCACACGGCAGCCAGACGATTTTTAAATTTGTGTGGAACAGTAATGGACGATTTCTTTTTCATTTATAATTATTTTGTGTAATGGGGTTTGTATAAGACGAAGGGGATGGTTTTCTTTTTGTTTTAAATAAATCTTGTATGGATTGCCACTGCCTGGGCTGCTGTGGAGTCATGAGTTTGAGCGGTCTTCTTGTTGTTGTTTCGGCCATGCGTCTCTGCTGTACATTTTTGTTGTGCGTCTCTCCACATACTCTGCTCCCTCTTTTCTACTTCTTTGCTTTGTGTTTCCGCAGGCACACACACACACACACAAGATGCACATTGCAGTGGATTTGAATGCTCCTTTTGTAGTGTATGCTGGCAGTTGCGTGTGGCGGCTGTTGTCCTCTTCCGTGGCTATGAGGCGAAGGGAGGAGAGGGAGTGCGCAGCCCGAGTCTCTTTTCCTGCGGGTGTGGTGCACCGCGTGTGACTGCGTTGAGTTGGGCTCCGTGTCCCATTGAGGGCGGGATGGCAGGAAATTTTTTTGCCGTGTCATGGATGGATGAGGGTTCGCTTGCGCGTGTGGCTGGTGTGGTGGGTGCTCGCTCCGTGTGCGTTGTGTGGTGGCTGCGGGGTTTTTGCCATTTCCCTGGGGCTGTATCGATGAGCTGGGGGAGATGGTGGTGGATGTCTTCTTCTCCTACATGGTGGGTGGCTGCTGGCGTTGTGTGCCTTCCTTGCGTGGATGCCGTCTCGTGGTGTGTGAACTGTGCGGCTGGGCCTGCTGCCCTCTCCTCATGTTGTCTGCTCTCTCTCGCTGTATCCGCTGCACTCCGTCCCTCTCCCTCCTGTTCCATCCCTTTTCCTTCTGGCTCACGGATCGGCTGACTGACTCCAGCGACTCCACTACGGGTGATGGTGACTGCGATGGTGACGATGGTGACGGTGTGGCTCCGTGTGGTGTGCACCGTGTTGGTCCTTGCGCTCTCGTGCTGCTGCTGCAATTCCGTGTGCGTGACGGCCGCTGGTGGAGGTAATGACTCCCACACAATCGCCAGTACTCCAGAGGGATCACGTGGGACCACTACGCCAGGGTCAAGAAGCTTGGGAAGCGGTGCGGAACAGTCACAAGACGCGTCCGGTGTGGAAGGGCCTCAAGGTTGAGCGGCAGGTGTAGGAAACAAAACCACTGAGAATGCAGAGACTAAACATTTTGGTACGGCAAAGGAAAAAAAATGTGGCTGACGTTAAGGTACAGGCAAAAACGACGACAACTACAACGGAGGCGCCAACTACGACGACCACCCGTGCACCGTCACGTCTTCGCGAAGTCGACGGCAGCCTCAGCAGCTCTGCGTGGGTGTGTGCCCCGCTGCTGCTCGCCGTATCCGCGCTGGCGTGCACCGCTGTGGGCTAAAAGGGAGCGTGGGCTGTGCGGGCCAGCACTCAGCCACGGGGACATGTGTACGTCTACTGTGGTCCGATGTATAAAGTAAGAGTAATTATGATGATCGTTTTTTGCTTTGTTTGCTTCCGCTGCCCTGCTGTGTGCTCCGCGATGCTCCCAACATCCGCCACGTTGAACGCATTCCAGACACGCTCATATGCATGCGCAGTGGGGCCTTGGGCTTGGTTTTCAAAGTTCACTTTGTTTTAATGTTTTTATTGCTTTTGTAATTTATGGATTGCGGGGCGGTGTGAGAGTTTTGCAATCGCACTGATTCCATCTGTTTCATTGTGTGCGCAGCTGGCATGCTGCCATTTGTTACGGTCCGTGGCTGTGTGTTGTAGCGACCGTGTTTCTCTTTTTGCTTTCACTCTGCGTTGACGGGGTGTTGTTAGTTTGTGCTGAAGGCTGCACGCAAGTGACAGGAGTGATGGCGATGATGATGACTGGCCGTGTGCTGCTGGTGTGTGCCCTCTGCGTGCTGTGGTGCGGTGCTGCCGGCGGAGTTTATGCGAGTAATCTCGAGAACAACGCAGTTAGTCGCTGCATGGCGTCGGGAGTGTTGAATACAAATAAATCGTATACGCCGAGCGGATGCGAAAAAACTGCGCTGACGCTGCCTTTACGATCTGT